AGCTCAAACGCACGCCGCCCACCGATGATCGAACGACGGCAGTGCCGATAGGATAAGCTCTGTGGGTCGAGTTTCGCTTCCGTTCCGGACGGGCTTTGCTCCTGTCCTGACATGGACTCGTTAGTTAGCTCTTGGTGCTGGTTCACTGTCTTGGAACTTTGCACAACGGGCTGAGGCTGAAAGGTAGTCAGTCGTGCCGTGGTGGGGTGCCCCCAGAATATATATCTCCGCCTCCATTGGCTGGCTCTTTACATGATACTGTATCTAGCGGCCTGGCCCTTGACTAGTACTTTCATGAACACAGAAATTGTGTAAGAAACGCTTTAACTTATGCAAGCGTCAGCCGTTTAGTTAGGTACTGATGAAACCGTAACTCTGAGTTCCACAAGGTGCTCCCCTAGTTACGGAACCAAGGTCGAAAGAATTGAAAACGTCAGTCATTCACAACCACTGATGAAGAATTCCTCGAAAGATTAAGGATCAGTAGTTCTCAAGTTCCAAACTGCTGAAAACAAAATGCCCTCCCATTCCTAGGCCTCTTCATTTGCCAGCCTGCCGTCGTTCGTCTCAAAACTTGTAGTAGTTGATTTTCTGCAACAGATGAGTTTTAGCTAAGCTATCTGTCTCTTCTGCGGTCACTGTGCATTTGACAGAAAGCAGGCAGTAGCTTTGCGACTGTTCCTTATCTACGAGCCGTCCATTCTCAGAGGCAGGGAACTTAGTACGAAGAAAAAAGAGCCTTTGTTTGCGAGAATGCGAGGGCACAAGAATCTGGATACGCGCTTGGCCAAAAAGGATATGCCACATTGCAACTGCACTGTGTAAGCATATAAGGTGAGGGGACACAGGATCGTACATGGATTAGTTTAGAGGCTGTTCGGCTTATGGTTTTTACGACTGATAAGCTAACTAGTTATGAGAGAAAAACGAATAGCGCGTTAGCCTGAATCAGCCTGTTCATCCCGGCCAGTTTCGGGCAATCAGCCCTGGGACGATGATGGGGCCATGAAAAAAATAGCAGGTGCCAATGGAACGAGCTGGCGTGAGGCGCCTTGGACTCGGAGTCTCGGCTCGGACCGGTCGGGGGCTAGTATTTGGTGTTTGGTTGATGTGTGTGTCCCGTGCTACGGTCATGCTTTCGCCTTGTGCTTTGCTTGGTTTGCCGTTCCCAGAGAAATTCTCACCTAGTTAATTGCCTTTCTTTGGGACAAAACCGAACCCATACGTCTCTACTCTCTGTGGTTGCAAAATGCGTTTCCTTTTGACAAACCCGATGAAACGAAATGAAACACCTCAACAGTCACACCTAGCGGTGCGGTAGGGTGCGATACACCCTCACCAAAAGTAGTTGGGTCACAATAAAATCGTAAATAAGACTATCTCCAACGAATAAGACCCAAACCAGAGACCTATTTTACGATTTAGGTCGCGCACAGTGAATAGGTCACCCGTCCGCAACCTCTCTTCTCCAACAGCTACGCAAAAATCCTCCCTGCTCCCTCTTATCTCTCTCCGCTCGATCCCTCCCTCTCTTCTCTCCCCAGTGGACGGCCGGAGGATGCGCCGCCACCGACAAAATGGAGTCCCAGTGGACGCAGCCTCCTCCTCCCTCTGCCGGGCTCGAGCCCCGCGATCACAAGCTGCCCTCCCTCCCCTCTGTCGGCTTGAGCCCGCCCGCCATCGGATCTCGTCGTAGGAGAGGGAGGGAGCCCTTGATCGCACGGATCTCCGTTGGGAGAGGGGAGGAGCTCACGCCACCCACCGGATCTCGCCATAGGAGAGGGAGGGAGCCCGCCGTCACCGGATCTCATGGCCGGGAGAGGGGAGGGCTCGCCGCCGCCGGATCTCGCCCGTGGGAGGCTGCCGAGGAGGGAGGAGGAGGAGGCATCGGTGGCGCCGCGCCCCACTGGTGGATCCAGCCAGAGGGCCGCCACGACTGGCGGGCGGTGCGGATCTCCTGCTTGCTGCTGGGCTCCCACGGGCGGTGGCATGGTCTCCACCACCACGGGCGGCGGCCTGGCTCCACCACTGCTCTGTGATTTAAGGCGGTGGCGGCCCCATGCGCCGGCTCGAGTTGAGCTTGGCGAGGGCAAGGAGTCATGGAAGAGGACAAGGCGGTGGGCTGCCAGTGGAAGACTTTGCATCTTGGAGAAGGACGACGCAAATATGCCTCCCACGACCTCGTCCCCAAAATGCATGCTCCGATTGCGTCGTCTGTTGGAGCCGGCTAAAACACTGTGCATGACCGATTTTAGGTATGCGTCGTCCTTTGCATGAGTCGTTGGAGATAGTCTAAGTGGAGGAAAATGGAGTGTGAAGTAAATAGTAGTAATCATAACTTTTTAGATGAACTAAAAAAACAGAAAGGCTAAACAACTAGGTTGTTTCTTTCCCTCTCAGCACTCGATTTCCAACGACTGCACTCAACCTGCGCCCGTGACTAGGGTTCTAGCGAGGAACTCGGCGGCGTCGGAGACGACGAGCTCACCGGCGTTGGGTAAGTTCAGCACAAGTTTTCTCCGGCCTCTCCCCCTCTTCTTCTCCAAGTCTAGCGGGCATATAAGGGGGGTCGGAGGGAGGTAGGCCGGTCAGGCGGTGGGGACGACGGTCAGGCGTTTAGGGGCACTGGCGACGGTGGAGTCAATCGGGCCAATATGCGCGGAGGCACCATGGCTGAAGCTCGCCGCGGAAGCTGAAGATCGGCGAGAGAAAGAAGGAGGCCGCCGCGGCAGCGCTAAGCTTTCGTCGAAGCTCTGTGGCCACGCTCCGACGAAATTCTAGAGCGGCCGCGGCGGGGCGGCTTGAGGCGTCGAGGGCGAGGAAGGAGAAGAATAGGGAAGGGGGAAAAATTGTTGGGACAATCGGTTACTACCTAGATGGTTCAAAAAAAAATCAAAAATTATGCTCAGACTCAGAGCTGGTGCTGCAGAATTTTCTCTTTTTGTTAGGTGGTCTCGACACGACTGCAAAAGCATCTGTGATCACTTGGAATGGAAAAACAACTTGCGATGTCGCTGGTGCGACAAAGGAAATCCCTAACTAATTAATTGAACGCATAGTGAGTGATTGGTTTAAATACTTAATTTATTTCCTTCGAGACCTCACCAAAGCCTACCCAGGTCCCTCCATGCTCTAGAAAGTTTTAGGCTCATTCCGTGCTGGTCGCCAACTCACTGTCGCCATCCTCAGCTTAAAGAAACGAGAAAATTAACCAGGAAAGGACAGGAGCTCGATTGTTAATGACAGCCGTCCTCCTAATGACATCCGCTAACATGTACGAGTGGGTCACAGGAGCTCACAACTAACACGACAAACAAGTACACCACTGCCAATTTGTGTGACCAGCTTTTGTCAGAAAATAAAAGTTGCATAACCATTCTCTCTCTTTTTAAAAGAAAACTTGCCTAACCTTTCAAGTTTCAAGTGTTCAATTCAAGTCCGTTTCCTATCCAGTTTGGATATAGGCGAGCCATGGCCAGCGCTTGAATTTTAACGATCGGGAGCACTGAATGATGCAAGATTCTTACAGTAATTTCTTTTTTGGATCTAAAAAGGCTAACTTCATTCCAGGCCTCGATAGAAAAAAAAATTATAGTAAAACAAAAGGTCAAAATATAATGGAGAACTTATTAAATCTTGATTGAGCAAAGTATAGTTCTTTTTTTCAAAAAGGCTTACTCAGTGGTGAGATATATAGTCAAAGTCAAATTATAACTGGAAAGCATTTCATTTGATGACCTCTCCACTCCCGGAAACAAAAGCCGACGCTAGCCAGCGAAACGGGAGTGCCCTGGCTCTCCAGGTCCCGCTTAAACGCCGTTAATGCCCCGCCGTGACGATCTTTCCATCCGAACCGCGGGCCCCAGCACTCCCCGGCCCCACACCACCTCCGACCTACCGACGTGCGGGCCCCATCGACTTCCCGAACCCCACCAGCCAGTGACGCAGCCACGACGGACCCGCGCGTGCCGCTCAAAGTGGCCCCCGGGCGATCTGCGGATTCGGGGGAGCGCAGGGAGCGCGCGGCTTTAGATCTCGTCGGATCTCGGCAGGGGCGCGGGCCCCGCCCCGACTCCCTGCCCACCTCCACTTGTTCCACGTCACGGCGAGCGCCTCTCCTCCGCGGTCTCCTCGGTCCTCGCCATCACACCCAGCGCCTCGCCTCGCCTCGCCTCGCTTCTCCCCGCCATTTGGCCCGGAACACCTCGCGGCCTCATCTCCTCCTCGTCATCGTAAACACCCACGCGTAGGTGCGCACCGCGCCCCCTGCTTCGGCTACAGGGAGCTAGCTCGTAAATTCAACTCTTCTTATTTTTAAAATTAATTTAGCTGGTTTTTTTTGGGTTGTTTCTGCGGCAGAGTTCGTCAGGGTCGACTCCAGTGGATCTCGAGAAGTCCGATTCCCCAGGCGCTGCTGTTACCTTGGGTGGAGGCAAGTTGGAACTGCGCTGTTTTCTTCACAGACTTTTCCGTCTAAAGTTTTGATTTGATGAGGTTTATCTTTTGTTTGTTCTATATTTAGCTCGGACCGCGGATTAGAGGATTTTTGAAGGGAGAAGGTGGTTTCTGACTTCCTTTCTCTACTCATACCAAATCCTTTGTTTCGTACTGCCTCAAATCTCTATTGGCGGTTCTGTGTACGGGGAATTTCGTATATAATCCTTAATATGTGAGCTGTTTAATGTTTCACAGGAGTCGGAAGCAACTGATTTTGGGCGTCGCGGAGCACATGGCTTAAGAATAATTTCTTCCAGCCCGTCTACATGTAATCCTCTCTGATCCTGACCAATACGGCAGAATGGAGTGCTTATTCTGAGCATCTGTTATGCTCATGACAGATTGGTGTTTGGTTCCCGTATGTTTTCCCTGCAGATTCGTAGTTGGATTCAGCATATGCATTTTTTTATGCTGACATAGGATGTGCTCCACCATCTGTGAACTCCCTCTAGTTGCACAAACCAACCACTGCGGTGCTTTCTCTCTCTCTTCGAATCAGGCTAATGGGTAGCGCTTGCCAAGCTGGCACGGACGGGCCTTCCCGCAAGGATGTGTTGGGGATAGGGAATGTCGCCTTAGAGAATGGCCACCATGAGGCTGAAGCTGATGCAGATGAATGGAGGGAAAAGGAAGAGGACTTGGCCAATGGGCACAGTGCGCCACCGGGCATGCAGCAGGTGGATGAGCAGAAGGAGCAACAAGGACAAAGCATTCACTGGGAGAGATTCCTACCTGTGAAGACACTGAGAGTCTTGCTGGTGGAGAATGATGACTCTACTCGTCAGGTGGTCAGTGCCCTGCTCCGTAAGTGCTGCTATGAAGGTATGAGCTGCAACTGGTAAAGCAATTTGATTTGATTTTTTTTTCTCGCCACACGCAGGAGAGCTGCTATCATTATATATTAATAAGAAACTAATTTTGATTTGATTAAATTGGGCATATACTTGGTTCCATAACTTCTACTAGATAGTAAATAAGTTCAGGTCGTAAAAGATAACAAATAAGTTCATATTTATTTCCAGCCTGGATTTATGTTGCACTCGAACTTGCTGTGTCGCAATCTGTCACAAAATGCGTAGGATGTAGATTTCAATTGCTTGTTATTGAAAGCATCTTTTCTTATGCAATTGCTGGTTGTAGTGTATGTATACATCTAATCTAGCCAAGTAGTCAAGCTAGAATTTTTCCCCTCAACTAATGAGAGGCTTTGTTTTGGTTGTCCCTTTGTTTAGGGACTAATACAAGACTTCTCTTAACCATTGCAGTGAAGAGGCTGTCTGTAATCACATGGATTGTTAACTTGTGTATATTGCAATTGCTGCTGCAAAAAAGGATTATGATTTTGTAGGGCACTTTTAAAATCAACCACAGCTCAAACATCAACTTGACACCAAGCTATATATAGAATGATGTTGATCTGATGTAATTTCTATAGCAAACAATTATGTGGAATATAGTGTTCCTTTAGTGAAAGAAGGTTCTCAATGGTGAATGTAACTGTCTTGGTGTATCGATCGATTGGTGCGGTAGACATGGTTAATCTTGATTATACGGCTGTGCATGCATGAGAATGCTTTATAGGTTCAACAGGGACTAATTTGATTCATCTGACTCTCATCACATGTTCGGGTGAAAATGGTCCCCCCCTGCTAGAATTTTCAAAATAGACCCCTCTCCCACTGTGGCAGGCCTGAGAGATGTCATCTCTCACCTAGTACAGCTCCATAGAATCTTAGATATACACTGATCCCATATTACGGCAGACCACCTGTCTCAGCTGCAGTGAGTACTCTGCTGGGCAATCTGCTGTGAATTGGGAGCTTGGTGGGTGGGGTGTTGCAGTATGTTTGCACTGCAGGTAGTCTGAGCATTGCTACCCTGTGCCACACACATAATGTGGCCAGGAGTACTGCACTATAGGATTGACACGTCATCTCCTGGGCCTACTGTGGTGGGCCAATGGAATTTCTTTTGCAATTGCAAGGGCTGGCTATTTTCATTTTAACAAATAACCAGGGTCTAGGGATCAAGAGTGTCACATCATGAGCAAACAGTGAATGCTCTTGCAACATATGGAAGCTGGAAGGCGGCAGTAGTCAATTGAGGGTCTAGATCAATTTGACTCTTTTATATGTCCTATGATTAGTTGTTGGATAAATTACTTAATGCCTTATTGTATTTTTGTACTAGTGAGCATGTACCAAAGAAAAATAGTATCTCTTAGGTGTTATATACTGGTTTCAGCCAACAATATTGGCGGTATAAGTACTGACAACTAAGCTCTTACCTATCAAATATGTTGGATCATTATTAACTATAAACTGTAGGTTAACATATTCCTAGCGAACATATTAATTATTGTTTACTAATTGTACTGGCATCATGTTACTGTATAATCCACTTTGCATAAGCAATAAGTAACAATTATTTCTACTTGCACTGCATTTTGCTTAGAAAATTCTAGCATACAAGAGTTGTGAATTTAAGCTTGTACATTTCCCTTTTCTATCGTATGAACATCAAAAGTTATTCTATTTGACAATGTAGATGCAAGCTATTTTTCTATTTGACAACAGAAAATGGTACTTTTTCTTGTGGATCATTTTGTTAGTTTATTTATTCTTCGACAAATAGGTAGTAAGGTACACAACTAGAACTGCCTCTATTGAAATCATTTCGCCCTTGACTGTAAAAGCAAAGCATGAAAACTCTGATATATCAAAGCATGACTTTGTATGATACATATAAGACAAGTGACATGCATGTAATCAACTATTAAATTAATAGCATCCATGCAGCTGCTTTCTGCTAGGTTGCATTAAGACTTTAATATTTTAAGTTTCTTATAGAACTTTGTTTTTTTCTTGATAATGATTGAAAGCAATGCATCTAAAGAGATTTGACTTAGATTGAACTTGAACTATGTACCCTCCCACTGTCACCAAGTTAGAAATACACCTCTCCTCACCTAGTTTGTTACACTGGTAACTACCAGTTCCTGTGGTACTTGATTTTGGATAAACATTGCATACTTTTTTCATGAAATTTCATGGATATTTAAAATGTAGACTTTATCCTTGATGTATTTGGTAATATGGCCAATGCTTTTTTTATGTTATGTCCCTGTTTGAATTATGTTTGATTGTTAATTATTAGCAGTGGAAATTTTATCTATCATCAACATCTAAAAAGGGGTAATTTTAGGTGTTTCAGTGTTTTGACAGCAATTTTATCTCCTTCCATTTTAGTTATTCCTGCTGAAAATGGTTCACATGCATGGCGATATCTTGAAGATCTACAGAACAACATTGACCTTGTATTGACTGAGGTTTTCATGCCTTGTCTATCTGGCATCGGTCTGCTTAGCAAAATCACAAGTCACAAAATTTGCAAGGACATTCCTGTTATTAGTAAGTAGTTTTCCTCAACTCCCCTAATGCACATGAAATGTTATCCCGTTAATTGTTGGGTTTAAATACTTTTAGCCGCTACACTGATGTGTTTTGCATGCAGTGATGTCTTCAAATGACTCTATGAGTATGGTGTTTAAGTGTTTGTCGAAGGGAGCGGTTGACTTCTTGGTAAAGCCATTACGTAAGAATGAGCTTAAGAACCTTTGGCAGCACGTTTGGAGGCGATGCCACAGTGTAAGCTGTTTGTTTTTGGTCTAGCTTTTTCTGGATATTTTTTTTTCCACGAAACATAAAAAAAAAGGGCAGACCCAGTGCCGGAGGCTCCCACATGAGTGGGGTCTGGGGAAGGGAAAAACCGAGGCATGATTTTTTTCCACGAAACATGAGGCATGATTTCTTTGACTCCTCACTCTGTGTTTCCTTTGCGATTATCTGAGTTGAATTTGCCTCTTTGGTACTCAGTCCAGTGGCAGTGGAAGTGAAAGTGGCATCCAGACACAGAAGTGTGCCAAACCAAATACTGGTGACGAGTATGAGAACGACAGTGACAGCAATCATGATGATGAAGAAAATGATGACGTCGACGATGACGACTTTAGTGTTGGACTCAATGCTAGGGATGGAAGTGATAATGGCAGTGGTACTCAAGTATGTGTTCATTCATTGTTCCTAATAGTTAATTTTTTAATCTAACATAATTATGTAGTTGAATTTGAATGTATAGATAACCATATATATATATATATATATATATATATATAATAAAGGTTAGTGGTAGAATACTACTTCGAACAAAATTCATATCACCTCAATTTAGGTCATAAAGGTTAGTTATTCTGTGATATATCTGGATATAAGATATTAAATAACCAATTTACATATAGTAATACCATGGTTGATGTAGGAAAATAAAGTTATTTATTGCTTTCATTCAAAACGATTCACTTGGTGGCAATCTTTCTTTCTCAGAAAAGTGATATATTGTCTGATAACTCTTTCTATGTGTAGTGTTTTTATTTTATGTCAATGTATTATCGAGTGTGCCGTCAAAAAAAAAATGTATTATCGAGTGCACAATCTGTTTTAAAATGCAGAGCTCATGGACAAAGCGTGCTGTGGAGATTGACAGTCCACAACCTATGTCTCCTGATCAACTAGCAGATCCACCTGATAGTACATGTGCACAAGTAATTCACCCCAAATCAGAGATATGCAGTAACAAGTGGCTACCGACAGCAAACAAAAGGAATGGCAAGAAACATAAGGAGAATAAAGGTATCATATGCTCCACAGCATTCATTGTATAGAAGTGAAGCATTTCACAGTTCATACTTCCACTATTGTCTCATTCAACCAAATTCCATGTTTTTACAGATGAATCTATGGGAAGATACTTAGAAATAGGTGCTCCTAGGAACTCAAGTGCAGAATATCAATCATCTCTCAATGACGTATCTGTTAATCCAACAGAAAAACGACATGAGACTCACATGCCCCAATGCAAATCCAAAAAGAAAATGATGGCAGAAGATGATTGTACAGACATACCTAGTGAAACAAATACTGAAACTGCTGATTTGATTAGCTCAATAGCCAGAAACACAGAAGGCCAACAAGCAGTACGGGCCGTTGATGCACCTGATGGCCCTTCCAAGATGCCCGATGGAAATGATAAGAATCATGATTCTTATATCGAGGTGACACCCCCATGAGTTGGGTTTGAAGAGATTGAGAACAGATGGAGCTACAGCCGAAATCCATGATGAGCGAAATATTCTGAAAAGATCAGATCAGTCAGCATTCACCAGGTGCAAAACATAATATCAGTGTCATTACTAGGTCATTAACATAACAGTAAGTTGCATGCTAACTCGTTATGATTTTTGCAAGGTACCATACATCTGTGGCTTCCAATCAAGGTGGAGCAAGATGTGGGGATAGCTCTTCACCACAAGATAACAGTTCTGAGGCTGTGAAAACGGACTCTACATGCAAGATGAAGTCAAATTCAGATGCTGCTCCAATAAAGCAGGGCTCCAATGGCAGTAGCAACAACGATGTGGGCTCCAGTACAAAGAATGTTGTTGCAAAGCCTTCAGCTAACAGGGAGAGAGTAACGTCACCATCAGCCATCAAATCTACCCAGCATGCCTCAGCATTTCATACTATACAGAATCAAACAGCACCAGCTAATCTGGTTGGGAAAGACAAAGCTGATGAAGGAATTTCCAATGCAGTGAAAATGAGCCACCCAACAGAGGTTCCACAAAGCTCGTCCAGCATCATCATCACGTGCATTATTACCTCCATGTTATGACACAGAAACAGCCATCAATCGACCGTGGATCATCAGATGTTCAGTGTGGTTCGTCAAATGTGTTTGATCCTCCTGTTGAAGGACATGCTGCAAACTACAGTGTGAATGGGGGTGTCTCAGTTGGTCATAATGGGAAGAATGGAACGAGCGCTGTCCCCAATATTGCAAGACCAAACATAGAGAGTGTTAATGGTACCATGAGCCAAAATATCGCTGGAGGTGGCATTGTAAGTGGGAGTGGGAGTGGCAATGATGTGTATCAGAATCGGTTCCCCCAACGAGAAGCTGCATTGAACAAATTCAGACTGAAGCGGAAAGATCGGAACTTCGGTAAAAAGGTAGCCTGTTTTCAGTTACATGCCTGTTGTAGTAGCTATGACTTGAAATCAGTAATAGGTATTTGAGTGTTGAAGGGCCTTCCACTATGTCAAGAAAGAGTAGGGATCCAAATGGTTTGCACAATTATTATCAGAAAATATAGAAGTGATTATTGATAATAATCTCTGCCTTTCGAGGATATAAAAATGCTTATGCTACTTCCAGCTATGCCTTTTGTCTTTTTTAGAAAAACTTCCAGTTATGTCTTAATATTGACAGTACCAGCATAGGAATACTGAAATAAGTCTCTGAAAGTAAGACATTAGTTAAATTTAAATTTTCAAGATTTGGTATTGGTTTCAAACTATTTTTCTTTTCAAAATTTTGTATTCTGACTGCAGTTTTTACAAGATTTTATGGTGATGCCGCTTCATTTTTCTGACTGCTGGCCTGAATAATGTGCATTGGACCGATATCTTCTGATGGCCTTGTCTGCCTATTTTCAGGTTCGCTACCAAAGCAGGAAGAGGCTTGCTGAGCAGCGGCCACGGGTCCGTGGACAGTTTGTGCGACAATCTGGTCAAGAAGATCAAGCAGCGTAAGGTTCAGAAAGATGACACAGACCTTCTAATACAACATGGCATCTTCGTCGACAGATCTGAGAATTAGGCGGTTCTTCCCATTGCGCATCTTCATCGGCAGATCTGAGATTTAAGTGGTTCTTCCCATTGCTGATAGTAACCCATTGATTCCCAACGTTAGAGTACTCAATAAATAAGACTCTAGTTGTCAATTTCTGTGGTCGACTCAAGATTATCACCCTAGTGCTATGGAGTCAAACATATAATATTTATATATGTTCGAGCCTTGGCGGTTTGCAATCTTCATTTTCCTTGCAGAGATATTCTTGGCCAAGTGTCTTAAGGAGGAGCAAACCAGCAGCGTCATTGCTATTATATTACTATATACATGCTAATATCAGGATTGAGCTGGAATTCTGGAGTAGTTCATCCATTCATTCGAAGATCGTGTTCCAAATCAACACAAGTAGGGGTTTGCCTCTCCTGTTTCCTTGAAAACGAAAAGTGACTGTAGCGTGAGATGCAAAATAGGTCTCTTGTGCTAGATCAAGCTCAATGAACTTGGCTGTGACGAACGCTTTGCAAGCTATGATGACTTGAACGCAAGCAAATTTGTGAAATAAAGGATGAGACGGAACTTTACTGAAATGCTGTGTTTAGCAGACGGTACACAAAGCATAGCAGCACCCGTTATGCCAACCAAAGTCGTTTCTACTGTAATACAAGTACTCCCTAATGTCTAGTCCCTGGATAGAAGAAGTCAGCACCGTTTTCCTTCCCTTTGAAATGGAAGTTCCAAACTTTCTGTGCTTTTGCCCTTTGCTCGCTGAATGTACCCTTGTTCACCACCGACAGCTGCAGAAACATCAAACATTTCAACCGCTTCAGAAAAGATTTATCAAGGGGTAAAATGAAAGTTGCAAAACATCAAAATAAGATCAAATAATGTAAGTTCATCGAACTACCAGGTCAGCGAATCCAACTAAGCCATCATGGTAAAACTCAAACTTTAAACAAATATGGAGGATCAGGAGCCTAACCTGTCCATGAACATCAGCAGCCAAACCAGTGCTCAAAGGTGCTGCTTTAATCACAAGATCAGCAATGTAGCGCAGATGTAAAAGGAGACCCATGTTCTCCTCGTCTGCATATATATCCTCGTGGATGAGGACCACTAGCGAGCAATTCTGTCAGGACATGATAAAGTGTAAAAGACATGACCAATGACTTAACAATCAGCAGCAGTACTGTAATGTTTGATTGATCAATATTTTACCATCTCAGACGTGAGCGCGAAACAATAGTGCAAGAAATCCAGCACATCGTTTACAGAACCAAGGGCCACAACTTCCAATAGGGAAGCATCATCTATAACGACGGTGAACTGGCCTGCATTTTCTCCAGCCCTGTTTGCCTCAACCAGTCTTTGAATTTCATTGTACAATCGAACAAAGCTATCAGCAATGGTGCCTTCCTTGCTCCACCTGCAGTAAAGAAACATAATGAATGGCGCCTCCCTATTTAGGAATCATCCAACATTATATGGAAACACACACGGTAATAAAATGATGCCTTGCCTGGGAATCCTAGCAATTCAAAGAAATGAAGCCTCTCGTTCCTCCTATGCAGGGAAAGGTTACAACCCTGACAAATTTCCAAAGACCAAAAGAAATATGTAATGCAACTGTGTAGATTTTAACTAGAGAAATCCAGCATGCAGTTTCCGATAGAATGAACAAATTAGAATAATCTCTTGGAAGCAGTCCCAAACCCCATTGTGCCGAACTGCCAACACCTCTAAAACTTGTGCATTTTATTAGAGTTTTACAAAAGCAAGCACCTCAGCTCACTATAGTCTATATTGCATGACTCAGCCAGCACATGAGCTATTACCGCTAGCAAATGAACAGAACTAGCAACTGAAAATTATACCACCTCGCACTGGTTTTGAACACCACCGTGCACAATAGGAGGTGGCAGAAATTTAGGCTATTTAGCATGCACTGCTAATATCAAGAGGCAACTTGACAACAATTCCAAAAGCCATAGGAAGAATGAGGATCATTTATAAATCTAATCAAATAATATCGCATCACACACCAAGAATCTAACAGTTCAAAATGTTGGTGTAAGATGCCTGATTACACACGTGACCAATAACGCATATGAATAAGAGCCTAGAAATCCCATTCTTTTAAAGCCAGATCAACTATGGTCCTACCAATTTGGGTCTACTCTAATCCCTAGTTGACCATACTCATTATGACATGGACAAAGATGCACTGAGCAGTTAAGCAGACACACAATATGCACACTATTGTAGCAGTGGAAACGTGTTCGACGAAATGCCAGTAAGGTGAAGAGGGGCGAGCCGTACCATCTTGCGCAGGACACGGTCGTAATAGGAGAAGGGCTGCGCGAGGGCGAGGAAGGCAGCCGCGCCGCCGCTGGCGAGCGCACGCTTGAGGAGGAGGTGGAGGACGAAGGCCCCGGGTGCCTCCACGCAATCCTCTACCACCACCACCCGCGCCGCAGATCCCATCGCCTCGCTCAGGAGGTCTCCCCCTCCCCCTCCGTACTCCTCCATGGTCCCCTAAGCAAAAACCTTTCACCGGAAAAAGCAAAGACTGCCGCGGCGGCGGCAAAGGGGTTCGACAAAACCAGAGGAGCAGGCAAGCGCCCACGAGGCCAAGACCACGAGCCGGGCAGGGGCAAGTGGGGCGGGGTGGGCTTTGCAGCTAACCCGCTGGATCGACCCGCACGACTAGCCCATGTAGCCCGTCCAGCGAGCCCACGTAATCAGAGTGGTCCATGCCGACCATGCGGGCCTGCCCATGGAAACATGTGGCGCTGGAAGCTTGGATCACTCGGTGTTGTGACAGTGACGAGGCGACCACAGTCTCCGCATTCCCCGCCGTCGATCACCCCCACATTATCCTCCATGCAACACTTCTAGCCCTAGTGGCTAGTGCTCTCTAGCCTAGCTGGTCCTAGTCCGGCCTTAAGCTAATAATCTCCCTCCATTGTGTTTTTGTCTTTCTTCTATAAATAAATTTGTCACAGATTATTCCCTATTTGAAAAAAGAATCTTTATTATAGAAAAAAAACTCGACCACCTAAAGGCATGGTCTCTCCACGCTTTGCGGTAAGGGACTCCATAGATAATCAAAACTAGAGGATATAGAAGTACAACTAAAGCAATGTTACTACTATACCAGAGGCTACTTCACAAAAAGTTCATAGAGGAGACACCACTGGTGGAACAAGCAGATGTCAGGGCAAGTTCAAGCTTGGATCCAAAGTCATCCAGGGACAAGGGGTTGAGGACCATGTGGAGCGTTGCTTAGGCTGTCAACACTTCATCTTGGGATGGCTCCGGTAGCATCTCTGGCACGGGGTAATCGAGCAAAAATGTGGCTAGAGGTGACAATGGAAGTTGGTGGTGAGCTCATGTACCAAGCATGCGGCTGTGGCAAACCACTTTCGCGCTCTGGTGGACTATGTTGCACAGACGTGGTATAAGCTGTCGCGACCTACTTCACCTATATCCCTTTCTCCTTTCTCTTTATTCCTCCTATCTCCCTCTCCTCGGAAAAAGAAAGAAAGAAACAAAGACGTGGATTACACAACTCAATCTAAAAGACATATACTCTAAGATAGACATCGCACTACGCGAAAATATTATACATGTGTATATTACTGCATTGTAGACAAATAATTGTATGCACTACAATAATTGCTTCAAATAGTTAGTCCTAGCACTTTATATCTTGTATACTTCAGAATTTTTTATATAAAATTGCGTACTATATATAAGTATGGAAGATGTTTTGTGTCTATCAAATCAACATATGAAGGTTGATATATTGTCTCCTCCCTCCAGCATGACAATCTCTCTCCATAAGTTCCATGTTAGCCCCTGCCTCATGTCATTATGTCACTGTCCTCAGCCACCATATTTAGCCTCCACTAGTGGAGGGACGGGCTTTTCTCCCGGTGGAGAACCCCCTTTAGTCCCGGTTCCCCACCCGGGAGTAAGCATCTGGGACTAAAGGACCCCCCTTTAGTCCCGGGTCGAGAACCGGGACTAAAGGTAGTCCCGGTGCATAACACCAACCGGGACTAAAGGTCCTCACAGCTTTAAAAAAATAATGCCTCCCACTGCTGCGTCCCGTGAGATTCGAACTCAAGACCTCATGCATTGCCTCGCGCGTAGCTTACCACCCCACATACACAACACATCTAACAATGGATGGGATACTTCCCTTTTGAACTAACCCATCGGAGGACCTTTAGTCCCGGTTGGTGTTACCAACCGGGACTAAAGGTTGGAGGACTTTTAGTCCTGGTTGGTGGCTCCAACCGGGAGTAAAGGTCCACCTTTAGTCTCGGTTGGTGTCTCCAACCGGGACTAAAGGTCCTCTCGCCATCTTGTCTTGCGGCCTTGATGGCCGTTGGCCGGGACCTTTAGTCTCGGTTGGAGACACCAACCGAGACTAAAGTCTCTCTAGTCCCGGCAAAAAATGCTTTGGGACTAGAGCCTATTTTGGCATCGGATGAAAGGTCCTGTTCTCTACTAGTACTCGTGGGCCCCATGTGCCCAAACTTAATATCGCTAGGCGCCTCCTCATCCCTCACCCTCACCCTCACCCTCACCCTACACACACCACAAAACAAAATCATGTCCATCTCCATTGCTAGGTCGGTCGCCTACCTATAAACCTTCTAAGCCTATAGGCCACTTCAAAGACTTGATAACCCTCGCCTCTAACAAGAATAAGCTCGACATCTAGGTTCAAGCTTTGTTGTCTTAAATCTTGAGAAGGTTCCAATGACTAAAGAACATGACATGTACAAGTTACTGAATGAAACGGTAAACAATAAAAGAGATAGATAGGTTACTAGAATAAACTAATAATAACATATATCCACTATAGACACTTTTAGTGCATGTTCAAAACGAATTTACCTAATTAACTTATGTCGGTTATTCACGAGCATGGAATAACACTCACGACATCTATTTAAACTCAACACTCACATAACATTACATAACCATGTGGTATATTAAAACACTTTGTGTATATTATATACGACAAATTTCTTAATATTCCGATCTATCGTAGCACTTTAAACTAAATGAATGGTTGTGATAAGTTCTGCAAGCATATATATGCATGAATAGAGAATCCACATCTCCTAGGGCCTAGAAAATACAGAAAGATCCCTCTCTAAACAAACCCTAATATCTCTAGCGCCTCCTTCCCCCGCACCCCACACACCACCAAACAAAATCATGTCTATTATTTCTACTTATAGACCTTCTATAGGCCACACCAGAGATTTAACAACCCTAGCCTATAACAAGAATGAGCATGGTGTCTAGGGTTCAAGCTTTGTAGTCTTAGATCTTTAGGAGATTTCAAAAGACTGAAGAACGTGATGTGTGCAAGTTACAAATGAACATAAAAAAGATAATCAGTCAAAGAGATATAGATAGGTTACTAGAAATAAACTACTAATAACATATATCCACTATTGGCACTTTCAACGCACGGTCCGAAATGAATTTACCTAATTAACGTATGTTGGGTTTCACGAGCATGGAGTACCGCTCATGACAGCTACATTAAAATAACACTCACATAACATATTGTGGTATATATATATTAATATATTTTGTGTACGTTATATATGACAAATTGCTTAATACTCCGCTTTATCATAGAGCTCTAAACTAAATGGATCACCGTAATAAATTCTATATGCACATATATGTGTGTATAGAAAATCCACGTCTCGAGGCCACGCAGATCGCCCGTGTCTAGTTTCTAGACAAACCGTACTTGCTTGTTCAAAAGTGTGGTGTCTGGTTTTTTTCGCTCCGCCATCCATTTTATTTCTTGGTTGTGATAAATCATATATGCACATGTATAGAAAATCCATGTCGTGGGACCGGCAGCACAGGTGGGCCCTTTTTCTAGTCTCTAGATAAACCCTAGTTTTGGTTGTTCGAAAAATGCGCTATCTGGTCGCCAATCGTTTTATTTCTTCCCCGGTCTCAACGCTTCATACCGGACCAACTTCGAGAGGCGGCGGCCATGGGTTCCTGCTTCTCGTTGGAGGAGGAGGCATTGAGAGGATAGCGCCCACGCAGAGGTTGCAGATCCCGGACCCGGAGGATGAGCAGGTCGAGCCGACCGTCGTTCCGAGCGAGCCTGTCATCCCAGTCGTCCGGGTTCTCGCTCTCTGCTCCTGAAATGCGGCTCCAGTTCTTGCGCGCGTTTCTTGGTTCGGCGGCTTGCTAGTTCGGTGATCCCTTAGCACGGACGACCAGAGCGCGCGATTTCTTGGTTTTGGGGCCGTCCATCGAATTTTTCACGAAGTTTGTGGGGGCGTTTGCTAGGGTTTTAGCTCCTGCGTGATCATCGCTGTCGTAGCGTGTGTGTGATTCTTCGTTTCCATTTTTCCTTCCCTTCATTTTGGTTTGTTCCGCCTTAGCACGGCCCGATGATCGAGCGTCACGCTTGAGGATGAGGTGAAGGAGTACAAGCATATGCTTAAAGATCGAGCGTACCACCAACACCATGCTGCCCCGCCTTTGGCGTCCGGAGCCCATCGCCACGCAGAAGAGTGCATGTACGATCGATGTGCGCTATAGTTATCGGCTACTTCGATTGCCATTCCTTCATTTTTGTTTCATTCTTCGTTTCGTGCAGTCGGTCAAATTCGGTCAAATGGTTTTGGTGCTTAACTATTTGTTTGTTATGTTGCTAAATGGTGCTGCCTAGTGTCTACTGAGATTTGTATCAAGAGCAAGGTGCTGTGTTGTTCCACGTGATGATGGCTTTTTGAGTCGTTTGCATTGTTTGGGGTCGTGATACTCTACTTCATTTCTTGCGGTCTCGAACAATAAATTTCGTGAAGAAACGCTGGTTCTGGTCCTTGTTGAAACAGAACACGATGCTGCAGCTGCGGTGCTGCCACAAACAGATAGCGCGGGTTCCTGGCTTATAGATGATAATAAGTTCCTCCTTTTTTTATTTGCGTTGCGTTCTTGATAGTTGACATGGTGAGGTTAACCTCACAAATTCTATGTATCTTTTTCATAAAATGGTGCCATCAGTTTATTTGGATAAACTACAATTCCTACTGTTTTGTCATGTTTTCGCTTTGTTTTAGGCTTTTAGCAAGGAACCACTTATATCTCGTTGTGTTCTTGGAATAATTTGCTTTTGCCTTCTCATGTTTGCTAACTAGCAAGGAGTCCTACGATAATAGTGTGGGTAGCTAATTTTTTATTTTTATTATATAACATTTGGATTTTCTTAAAGTATTTTTTTTGTTTCATTGTCATATCTTTATTGGTCCAATTGCATTTATCAGCACAAACAACCATATATCTATCACCAGTAAATTCCTTGTTGTTCCTTTGCTTTTTAGTACCACCACAAAATCTAGTTATAACGTTGCTTCACCGCTGACTCTTTCGATGACTATTCTATATGTATTGGAGTCTTTGTTTATCTATTTATTTATTGTATTTTTTATGGATTTGTTCTTATCTTAATATAAAAAACTTTTACT